CCAGTGGTGAAGATTTTTGTTTTCTTTACATTGAGATGGCAATCCATACCGAAGACTGTGTTCTTTGATCTTCATCAGTAAATATTTTATGTCCTCTTCACTTTCAGAAAGCAAGGCTGTATCATCTGTATATCGCAGGTTGTTAACAAGTCTTCCTTCAATCTTGATGCCATGTTTTTGTTCATATAATCCAGCTTCTTGGATTATTTGCTCAGCATTCAGGTTGAATTAAGTATGATGAAAGAATATAAACCTGTCACATTGAATATACAACCATATACATTGTATGTAATATAATGTTCACCCAACATACAAATCACATAACAGCCTATCATAGACATTAAGTGACACATACCTACATTAACAGTAAAGGGTTTCTCACCCTAAACCACCCTAAGGCTTCATGTTTAAAAGGTGTCATTTGAATCAGACTTCCCCAGCACCCAATGATGGCAGACAGGGAGGTGGGAGTTGCAATACCACCTGTATCTCTGACATGCTCAACACAAAATGCCTTGAACCAATAGCTTAACCTCCTCACTCACTGAAACCACGTGGGTCTCGCCAGGTTTATCCAGATTCTCAAAAACAGCCTCTTGTTTATCAGCACGGACTTCAATGAGGTTTTGCTTGTAGTTAATGGTGAGGTTCCTCTCCTGGATGATCTCCAGCAGGGCATCTGCATACTTCTTCACTGCGAAAATTGCTCCAAGAGAAGTGTTGAAAATTATATTAGCCTTGGGCCGCTTCCCTGTCTGTGAAAAAAGAATAGAAGAGAAACAACATACACCAAAGCATTATCCAGCCACCTTTAAAAAAAAAAAAATCTAGACAGGATTAAAACCCTAGGAAGGAACCTTGCCAGTTTTTCCCATCACTATTCCCTGGTGGGGTGATGATGTGTGTACCAAGCCATCACCAATTCCTTCTTTTCTGTTAGCCAAAACCAAGTAAGATGGGCACTGCTGAGTTGAAGACTTGAGGTGAATATCAAATCCAGGTAAAGGTAGGATAAAGCTGGATTAATTATTCCTACATTTACTAATTTTTTTACCCAATAAATATTTAATAACTTTGGACAGGGGAGCAGTTGCAGTTCAGTGGTAGAAGTCTGACCTTCCATGAGAGAGAACAGGATTCAATTTCTGGCCAACGAGTTAATGCGCAACCACTACCCATCACTGGTCAGTGGTGACTTGTGTGTTGGTTGATGTGGAACATGCTTCAGTGGAGCTTCCAAACTGATAAGGAAGAAAGACTTGGCTATCTTACTTCCAAAAACCAGACAATGAAAATCCTGTGGATTTTCTATCTGCAAGTAATCAAGGGGATGGTGTAGGACTGGACAGCATTTCATTTCATTGCACATGGGATCAGCATGAGTTGAAGGCCATCTTGGATGGCCAGGTACTGCTGTAGATGCTGAAGGAACAGCGGTGAAGCAAATAAAGTCCCTGTCCCCTTGGGTGTTACACTCTAGTATTGTTCATATATCTCAGAGAAGTTAGTATTCCCCCAAGTCCCTAAGAAAGATTGTCACCTGAAAAGTAAATTTCCTCTTAGGCCATCCAACACTTGGTAGAAAAGAACCACACAAGGAGAATATAACGAGGGAAGGAGCAGCTGCTCTCACTCCTTTCCTTTGCTCAGTTCCCTTTACGATTTGCTCACTATGAGCTCACCTTTGGCCACTCAGAACGAACTTCCTTATAATCCAAAACAATTGCTAGAGTTAGTCCTAATTCCCAACTCTGCAGAGTTGCTGCATGTCGCAGAGGAAGGCTTTGCCCAGTGCCAGGTACCTAGCACACACTCCACAGCTCTGCCTTCCCATCTCCCCCTTCCCTTCTGCTGTCTCTTCCTTTCCAGAACCACAGCCTGCTTTCAATTCTGCCACTGCTTCAAATCAAACTACTCCTTGGGAAACCAAATGTCACATCCTAGGCAAGGGCACAGGGCACAACCCTGAGCCATGTTCACTTGAGCTGCAAACACCTGTTCTTACAAGAGGGCCTCCTCAGCCCTTTGCACCTTTCCGTTTTGAAGTTCTACATTTTGACTATTATGTTTTCCAAAAGTGTGTGTCAAGAGCTAGAAAATATTCACAACCATGAACTTGAGTGAGAACAGTTGAAGCTGTTATGCATAAAAATGAACAATTTGCAACTAGCCAGTTGTCTAACGATATGGAAATATTCAAACAATCTCTAATATCTCCCCAGCAGGCTTTCATATACACATAAAAAATGATGTTACAAAGACTATCCTATAATATGTAATACACCTAAATTGGAATGTACAATATGATTATAACCCCGTTTATACAACTCTGCATATGTAAGAGCAACCAGGACATTTTAAATTGATGACAGTAGCTGCTTTAAAGTGATAGGATTGTATTTCATAAACCTTTGATTATATAATTTTGTACATGTGCAGAAATCAAAAAGGGTATTATGACAGGGATAGAAATGGAACTCTGGCCATCACGGAATTAGTTTTCTCTGCCACCCTGATCTCTGTGCACGGACAAGATGCATACCTTCCTGAAGTAGGCTTCTGACAAATACATGATCTTCTGTGGGGCTCCGGCACATTTCACTGGAGTATTTGGGAAGGTAAATATGGCATTGCCCTCCTTGAAATTCTGCAGAGCTTTCCATGTCTTCTCGACTGTCTTGACTGAATAATTGGACCCTATTTTGGGGTGCGCAAAACCTTCTGGTAGACCTTTAATCTGCAACAAAGGACACGAAAAAATAATTTTCTTAACAAAAGTGCAAATGGCTTTATAGTCCATCTTCTTTTCCATTTCTACAGCCTATCTCTGGAGTCCTGGAGTGGCACTGTGAGTTAATGTGCCAGGCTGCAAAGCTGTTTGAACTGCAAGGTTAGCGGTTCAAGCTCACCAGCTGCTCCTCGGAAACCCTATACAAGGTCGCTATGGGTTGGAATTGAGTCAATGGCACTTAACAACAGCAACAACAGCCTATCTGGTGTTTCAGTACCTTGTTTCCCCCTAATATTCACATATAATGTAGCAGGCAGATGGAAGAAGGATCCACTAAGACATGATCTATGGGTTAAATCAAGGAAAGGGCTCAGCCCAGGGAACCCTTCTGCCTTCCTGGCCTTGGAGATCATGGTTTGAATGTAGCTCTTCCCACTATTAGTGAAAGGGCAAGAAGCCAGCTATGCTTCCTGTTTGAAGTACCAATTGCCATAATGAGCATGAAGAAAAATGATAGGCAGAACCAAAAGTCATTTACATTGACACATTTACAGTAAATCTACATTACCCTTTATTAGCCTGCTCAGATCAAACTTTTGGTAAAAGCAGTAAAGTCTGGTAATTAAACGCATGACTTTGAAACCCCCAGACCTAGCTTGAATCCAAGCCATGGTACCTCAATGGCCTCATATGTATGTGAAAGTTAGACAATGATAAGAAAGAACGTAGAAGAATCTATGTATTTGAGTTACGGTGTTGGAGAAGAATATTAAAAGTACAAGGGACTATCAGAAGAACAAACAATTCTGTATTGGAAGAAGTACAGCCAGAATTTCTGCTCCTTGGAAGCCAGGATGGGGAGAGTTCACCTCTCATACTTCAGACATGATATCAGGAGGGACCAGAGGGAACAGTTCCCAGAAAAGGACACCACTCTTGGAAAATGTGAAGGTCAGCAAAAAAGAGGAAGACCCCCAAAGAATCCAAAGAAGAGATGGACTGACACAGGGGCAGCAGTAACCAGCTCAAATGTAACAGCAATTGTGAGGATCGCACAGGACGGGCAATATTTCATTCTGTTGAGCAGAGAATCGCTAAGATTCTATGCACACAGTACAGCACCTAATAGCAACAACAACAATAGTGTGAGTCCGAGCTTTTACACTTACTGGCACTATAAATTACCTAATCTCTTTAAACCAGGGGGTCTCAAAAGATGGTCCCCACACCAGCAGCAGCTACACCACCTGGGAGCTTGCTAGAAATACAAAAGTATCAGGCCCCATTCCAGACCTATTGAAACAGAAACTTTAGGAGCAGGCCCAGCAATTTGTGTATTTGCAAGCCCTCCTGGTGATTCTGATGCACACTGAGGTCTGATAAATGTCTGTAAAATGGGGATGAAAGTATTTGCTTCATTGTGTTGTTGGCAGGAGTAAATGAGATCACACATGTAAACTGCTTAGAAAAATGGCTAACACACAGTAAATGGCCCATGGTGGTGGGTGGTGGTTAAGTGCCATGGAGTTGGTTCCGACTCATAGTGACCCTATACAGGGTTGCCGAGGCTGTAAATCTTTACGAGAGCAGAAAGCCTCATCTTTCTCCCACAGAACAGCTGGTAGTTTCAAACTGTTGACCTTGCAGTTCACAGCCCGATAGATGTTAGTTTATTGCTGTCAATTAGATTAGGTGGATACTTGTTTTAATTGTTAAGGAGACCTAGTGATGCTATGGGCTGGGCACTGGGGTGCTAATCACAAGGTTTGTTGTTGTTAAGTGATGTGAAGTCAGTTCAGACTCATAGTAACCCTGTATAGCATTTCCAAGGTGCAGTGGGTGGATGTGAACCACCAACCTTGCAGTTAGCAGTACAGATTTTATCCTACAGTGCCACACCAGGTGGCTCAAAACCACCAGCTACTTCTTCAGAGAAGGATGTCAGCTTCTAGAATGATTTACATTCTCAGAAACCCTTTATAGGGTTATATGAATCACAATTGACTCAATGACACTGGGGTTGTCTTCATTGTTGGAAGGTTCATAGAGTGCAATTAAAATGCCACAGACTGAGTTAAGAGACTTCACCACCAGTTCTTCCAGAAAGAACAGGTTTTATTACAACCATCAAGATAGGCTGGTCCTTCAGAGCCCACACAGGTTGTTTTCCAGGCTGCCAGGAGACACAGCCATGCTGCCCCATCCCACAGCCCCAAGGAAACGGAGGGCATTAGCAATCTCCTCCATTAGTGGCCTGGGTTCAGTACTAATCCACATTCTATGTCAGTGGTGGTGGTGGTGATGGTGATGTGCCATAGACTTGGTTTAGACTCATAGTGACCCTGTACAAGGTTTCCAAGTCTGTAAATCTTTATAGGAGCAGAAAGCCTCATCTTTCTTTTGTGGAACCACTGTTAGTTTCAAGCTGCTGGCCATGAGATTAGCAGCCCAACTTGTAACCAATATGCTACCAGAGCTCCTTACCATTCTGTTAAGTCACTATTTCTTCGATTACTGAGCATACCTTCTACCACAGTATAAGCAGTTGTAACATTAGCAGTCTCAATAATAATAGTTATCATTATTATTATAACATCACCTTGCATTTCAATGGTTTTGAAGTTTTACTTTGGCTAACTTTGGGTTTCACCATACAGCTTTGAGGGTGATTGTTGTTGTTGCAAAGTGACATTAAGTCGGTTCACAACGTCCTATAGAAGAGCAGCTGGTGGGTTTGAATCACTGACCTTGTTGTTAGCTGGAAGTCCAGTGCTTATCCTACAGCACCACACCAGGACTGAGAGTGGTAGCGAAGTATTAGTAGTACTGAAGCTGAGCAAAGTTGAAAGAACCTTCCAGAATCTTACAGAAGTGGATGCCAAGGCACCTGACCACCAACCAAAGACTCTTCCTACCAGACTGCCACATCTCCTGGCTCCCAAAGAAAGCAAAACTAGATGTCTAACAGATAAGCAAAGAGCTGACCTCTTAATTCCTTGACATTTTTCTCTAGTCTGAAGACACCATTGTTAAGGAAAAAGCTGTCATTGAGTGGGAACCCTCATCCAAAGGAGCTTCTTCCCTAGGAACTAGGTTCTGAGGCAGCTGGGAATGAAAGGGGAGGAGTCAGAGGAAGAGATTTGATGATCTGCTCTCCCTTTGGCTGCACAAGTGGTATAATAGTATCAAGCTGGTGTAACAGTAACAAACTGTCCTATTTCACCAAGCAGACCAGTGAGCAGGAAAATCCACCAGCAGACACCTCAGGAAACCAGTGTGAAAAAGAGACAGACACGTAGAGACACAGAGAAGCTGTCTGAATTCTAACAAAACCCAGATCTGAGACCCAGTTCTTCAATGTCCACCTATATTCCTGAGACATCTCAGTATCCTTATAAATAATCATCCTTTGTTTATAATAAATTGAGTACTTCTCTAGTATCTGCCATCAGAGAGTTCTAAATAATACAGGGGTGGTGGTGGTGTGCATTGGAGTCAGGTCCAACTCATAGTGACCCTGCATAGGGTTTCAAAAGCTATAAATCTCTGGGGGAGGAGAAAGCCTCATTTTCTCCCATGGAGTGTCTGGAAAGTTTCGAACTGCTGACCTTGAGGTTAGCAGCCCAACTCATAACACTTAGGCTACCAAAGTTCCTTAAATAACATAGCTATTGTTAGGTGATGTTGAGTCAGCTCCAACCCATGGTGGCCCTGTATAGTGTTTCCGAGGAGTAGCTGGTAAGCTTGAACTCTCGACCTCATGGTTCAAACTGACTGTGTAGTCCAGCACTTTAACCCACAGCACCACACCACTCCAAATAAAACTGTAACCATGGTTAGATCATTTACTCCCTCTTAACCTCAGTTTCCTCAATTAGAAAGTAGAAATAAAAATGCCTACCTCACAAGAGGTTGAGTTGCTGTGATTCTGGAAGCTATGCCACCAGTATTTTAAAT